CAGCCTCATGCTGAAGACGAGGACCGGAGCGGGGACAAGATGGCGGCTGCCGTAGGGCTCAGCTCCCGCTCGCGGGCACGCAGCCACAGCTCTGCGCATGCGCCTCTCCGCGTGCGGCGCGGCGCCCGCCTCTCCGCGTCCCACAGCGCGTGCGTCGCCTCCCCGCCCGCCGCTCCTTAGCCCAACAAGTGCGCATGCTCCGCTAGGTTCGGGGCGCTGGCGGGTGGGGCGCAGCGTCTACCCACTACGCCTGCGCAGGGTGCCCGCGAGGTTGGAGCGTTCCCAGGGGCAGGGTTGACGTGGCGGCTGCAAGCCTCGGTCCCCCCGGGTCGGTGCAGGACTAACTTAGACCAGGGGCACCGGTGCTCGGCCTGCACCTGGCACATCCCGGTGCCGTTTCCGGAGCCCCAAAGTCACCGACCCCGCCGGCTGCTGGGGCAGCTCCTGGCGCGCAGCCGGTTCCACACCAGAGCCAGCTGCACTGGAAGGTTTCAGGAGGACCCAGGCATTGGGAGCACAGAGAGGAAGGGGCCTGCTGCCTTATCCTGAGCCGGGCGAGGGTAGGGGCGGGAGAGGACAACGGGGTAAGGAAGGTTTCAGAGGAACAGCCGTGTTAGTCTGTATTCGCAAAAAGAAAAGGAGGACTTGTGGCACCTTAGAGACTAACCAATTTATTTGAGCATGAGCTTTCGTGAGCTACAGCTCACTTCATCAGATGTTTACCGTGGAAACTGCAGCAGACTTTATATACACACAGAGGAAGGAAGATACGGGTCGGAGGCAGAAGCTGGAGCAAAAGACTAAAGATAACTAGATTGCCAGTCCTTAATAGCCATGAGCTAGGCCCCCCAAATCATATGTTTTGGTGTTTGCTTTCCAGCTGTTTGGGCACATACAGGTCATGGCTCGAAGTTTCTCTACAATTGTGAGGCCTAAAAATGCTTTTTTTAAATGACAGCTGAGTCTCCCCCCATGGTGTGCCTCCAGGCACTGGGGTGTTGAGAAATACCCCACAGCTTGCAACTTGTGATAAAAATCCGTATCGAGTTGGCAACAATGATTTTACCCCACCCAGCAAAAGCCAACCCCAAACGCCTTGGAGGGATCCCCAGAGCAGCCTCTAGGTGTCCCCATACAGCAGAAGGAAAGCACAAGCTTGGAGAAACCAGCTGGGCTTCGGCTCTTTCCTAGTTCATTGAGTGGCTGGGTTCAGCGAAGTGCTTTATTTGGTGAGCACTGATGGCACACTTAGCCCTACCCAAAGGCTGAGTCCCTCGCCCAAGAGTTTACAATGCAAGGAAATGGGTTCCCCTGAAGCATGTGAGTGTGGGAGAGGCAGAATCAGGCCCTTGGGCATGGCTTGTGAGCATACAGGCAAAACTAGGGGGGGGGGGTGCTGCTGCTCTGGCTGGCTTGAAAGGGTTTCCATACTCTCTGGGTTTACAGTTTGATTCAGTGGCTCTCAGCACCCCTGCATGCAGGAGAGGTGCCTAATGGAAGGATTCAGAGGAACAGCCGTGTTAGTCTGTATTCGCAAAAAGAAAAGGAGGACTTGTGGCACCTTAGAGACTAACCAATTTATTTGAGCATGAGCTTTCGTGAGCTACAGCTCACTTCATCAGATCAACACTTCAACATCTGATGAAGTGAGCTGTAGCTCACGAAAGCTCATGCTCAAATAAATTGGTTAGTCTCTAAGGTGCCACAAGTACTCCTTTTCTTTTTGCTAATGGAAGGAGTACTCCTCAGGGTATTCTGTGCCCAAAAAATTTAAAAATTCTGCACACATTTTAAAATTCTGCATATTTTGTCAAATAAATGTGGAGGCTCCAGCATGGCATTGGGGACCACAGGCCAGTGGCTGCACAGAGGTGGGCGATCACTGTGCAGCTTCCCCCTCCTGGGACACAGACTCAGCGGTGAGGCTGGACGCAGCCCTGACACAGAGCAAAGACTGGGCCTGCCCAGAAACACCCCAGAGCCCTGCCCCTCTACAGGGGGTGCGGGCAGGCAGGATCCAAGTGTGAAGGGGCTTTCTGGGTGGGGCAATCTGGGTTCAGGCAGCTCAGTGGGGGGGGGGGGAATCCATGTGTTTGGGGAATCTGGATGCACAGGGGCTTGTTGGGGGGTTCTAGGTACAACAGTAATGGGACTCTGCATGGGGGGGGTCCAGATGAAGCTGGTTAGGGCTCAGCAGGGGAATCTGGGGGGGGGCTCAGTTGCTGGGGGAGTGGGGCACAGTAATGTTGGGATCCAGGTGCAACTAGTAGGAGCTTAGTAAGATGGGGATCTGTTGGGGTAGTACAGGTGCAGGGTAAGTGCAGCTCATCTGGGGGGGTTCTGAGTGTGTGTGGGGGGAATGAAGCTCAGGGGGAGGGACTGGGTATGAGGGGGTCTGGATGCATGGGGCTTGAGCAGATGGGGGAGCAGCTCCCTGTACAGGGATCCCTCCCCCTGCAGCTGAGAAGTGATGGGTGCAGGAAGAACAGGGTAGGTTGTAGAGCTTCCTACAGCCAAGGGAGAAATTTGAGAGTCAGTCTAACTCAGCCCTGGCTGCCATGCAGCAGAAGAGGATGTCCTGTCCTGTCCTCCCCAGCCCAGCCAGGACTACCAGCTGAGCCTGTCCGACAGTAGGAGCTACCAGCTGTCTTCCCTAGTCCTGCCACTACCCGCCCAGTAATTTATCTCTGATGGGTGCCCTGTGCACCTGAAACATACTGCGAGGGCATGTTGCATGACTGCTTCTGTGGCTTCCCTTTGCTTCCCCCTCAAAGTCATTTTTCTGCAGGAAAACAAGCAAGCCTAGAAGTCCTCAAGTGGTCAGGCATGAGGTGGTGGCAGAAATGAAATGGGTGGAGAGATAGGGCAAAGACTAGCAATGAAGACCAGGTCTATGCAAAGGCCTAGAAATCACACCAAGGAGCTTGAGCTAGAAGGCAAGCAGAAACCAGCACAGCATAGAAAAATACCCTCTGTTCTATGATTATGTGTTTCCTGTGCTCTCCGCCACCTAATGACTTCTCATCTTACACTGGGACTGAAAGCTCTTTGGAGGAAAGTGCAGCTTTGTGCAGGGTCCAGGAGGCTGAGGCTTGGGCCTGTAGCTACAGCACCAAAATTCCTTGTTCTTTGATCCTTAGAAAGCTTTGGTGCAAGGGGAAACAGAAGCAGAGCCAGTGACATCTGCCCCATTTAGCTGAAAGGATTTTTTCCCCCCCCCCCCCCCTTTTTAAAAAAAAACTTCTGCAGCTGATCAAATAAGGTTTTGGGGGGTTCATTTTTACTGCAACCGGGGCTGTAACAAGAGGGGGTGGAGCTCTGCAGTAGGCAAGTCAGTGCAGCATCTCCCCAGCTGCCCTTCCTAACCTGTTGCCCTATAATTGTCAGATCTTTAGTTTCAGAGGCTGGAGCCTATGCCACTTGCTCCCCACTCCCCTGACATGCCTGCAGGGAGGCCAGACAAGCCCGACAAGCCCAAGCTGGAATTGTTTAGCTACAGTGGAAGCCAGTATTAAAATCTTTTTTTAATTTACTCTCCCTAACTGGATTTCTACATACACAGATAGAGCTTCTGCCTTCCAGTTTTATGTACAACAGCTGGTCTAATTTAGCTCTTATTTTTCCACAGCCATTTTAGGTCCCAACTGGAATTTAAAGCCAGCTGTAGAACTGCCATAATATTTGCTCCTTATATTTTATTAGACTCCTGCTTAGTACAGCTAGAGGCTAGAGAGGAAAGCGACTGCCCTGTAGGTTTAGTTAGTGCTACTGCTCAGATCGTAGACTTTGTCCTCTCTCAAATTTGAGGGAGAAGCACCTTGTACAGGCAGAGGATAACAGGAGAGACAACTGACAGAGCTAAGGTAGCTGTATAATTAGATCAGAGCTTTTAAAAGTTTGAGGAACTTCTAAAAGAGAGGGTCTCACTAGAAACATTTACATGTTTCAGGAAAGAAACAAGTTGTTTTAGCTTAAAATATTTGGCACAAGCAGCCCCATCAGTTAAAATCCTCACCCCCAAAATTTCTTGAAGGGGTTTAGGCTACACATTAAAGGTAAAAAGGGATATGCAGATGGGAAAAGCAGCTTCCCAGATCACTGCATTTCTATATGGGATGCAAAATGAGTTATTCTGTGGAAAAGGAAAAAGACTGAAACAGCAATACTTCACCCCAACACTTTCTTACGAGCCTAGAGCTGTCCTCTGCCATGCACCTAGAAAGCTGCAAACAGCAGCCATTTTAGTTAACATTTCTTCTGGCAGTAGGGATCAGGTAGTTCCACTCCCTGCCCTAAGGCTAGTTGGACTTTCCTTTTTTGCAGCGGGTGTTGGAAATATTCCAAGGGGAGCTGGACTCTGTCCCTTATGGTGTTTATCAGCTATGTGAACAGGTTTTGCAGGGGTGGTGGGTTTTGGTTTATCTTGCCTTAAAGAGGAACTTCTTCCTTTAACTCCTGAAAAGAGAAAAAGGTTTGATAGATAACATGAGCTCAGATTTGTTACCCAAAAAAGGTAGGCTTTTGGGCAGGGGGCTAAGCTTAACCCTGTGGAAGATACAGCCCTTGGAAAGAGAGATGATTATACATTGCTGTAGCCGTGAGTAAAGTAGCTACATTTCCAGAGAGCTCGCTTGTGGCAAGGTCTAGTTTGGCACCTTGCTTTAGTTACTGAGTCTGGGTGCAAAGGAGCAGAGAGTCATTACACCCAGTTACCATCTGGTTATCTGGTGCAAGCAAGAAGTTAATTGTCCATTGAACTGCTTACCTGTATCCAAGTGCCCCCTTCCCCACCAGGTCAGCTGGGACCCTGAAGTAGCTTACAGAGCATCAGTTGAGCATCTAGTAGCACCACTGGAAGTTTTGTATGGGGCTGTGGTCAGCTGCAGTTGACAGAAGAACTAGTGACCAGTTCATGCACATCCCAATCCTTAAACATAACGGCGCCCATGGGTGTAGAGCAGCTTTATTTTAATCAAAGCCCATTATGTCTAAAACCAGCATGGCGGGAATGGTTTTTATTTCAAAAGACAATTGTCAATTTTAGTATCAAAACACTTGATAGAGGTTGTCCTCTAACTGGCCCCTAAAACCACCACAACCAACAAGCCTCTCTCAAGCCTAAGCTACACGATGCAAACCTCTTGCAGATCTCACTACTGTGCCTCACAAACAGAACTTCAACAGTGCACTGCAATGTGGCTTGGACCCGATTCAAGACAATAAGAGTACTCCTGGGTAACAGGGGGACTGAAGGGATCCCCTCAGTATAAGCAAAGCTCTTCACACAAGAGGCAGTTTTATAGATGAGCTGTTACAATTTATCAGCAATGAGTGATAAAGCTCAGTGCAATAGCACTTAGTGAAGGCAGATTCAAACCCAGTGGCAACAATGAGTTAGAGGGCTGCTTCTCTAGTCAATGGCCAAAGGGGTGTGACTGGCACACACAGGGCCAAGAGGCCCCTGTGACTAATTCTTCCATTCATGAGTGTTCAAAGAGAACAGGTTTGGTCTTTTAGAAAAAGAAAGCACTCTCCTCTTTGCTCCAACGGCTCTACCATGCAAGGAGAAACTTTACAGCTGAGAAACTGGATGTCCCTTTTTGGGCCATCTGCTCCTGCAGGAGTTCCTGTTCTGACAGGATGCATTAGTGCCCAGCAGAAAGGCTCCCTGCATTCCTAGCCAGGCGACTTGAACTTAACAGCCAGAGCCAGAACTGTCCCACCTCTGCTTCTCCCTGGCAGCAAGGCAAAGGGGACCAGAGCTGATGAGCTAAAGAGGTCAACATCAAATTTTAAAGCCAATAGCTTCTTTTAGGTGCAGCTTGTGAGCCCCAGAGTTATTTGGAATGTTTACAATGGTTGCTACAAAAAAAGGTAGTTACAAAATGTGTACATCTCTCACGTTCTCCAGACATTATTGCATTGGTTTGTATTTCCCTTAATGATGCTGTTTAAGGCTCTGCCCAACCTGGTGACCTTTAACCCTCAGGTGACTTGGCAGAAGTTGGTTTGGTTGAATTGGCAAGAGAAGGTAACCCTTGGGGTTAAAGGGCAGCTCTGGCTGGGCTGGCCCCCAGCGAGTCGCTGGGTGGGGCAGAGGCGATGGCAGGGATCCTTTACATGTCGTTCAGGTCCAGCAGGGTCTGGTCCAGCATTCTTTGTGTGCAGAGATGCTCCTCTTTGGTGGATTTCAGTTTATCTAGTGGGAGGAAGAGTTAGACAGGTTAGCGGGGCTGTACCTATGTGACTGGTGAGACCTGCATTAACTCTTCCCCCAGCACACTGCTTTGGTCAGCTCCTCATTAGACTTTGGACACAGGGCCACTTGCAGCCACAAGCTGTGGAATTCAAAGTGTTGTTCCCGGCCTCTGCCTCTTGAAATGCTGACGCTTCCTGAGCAGCAAGATCTCCAGAGTCAGAACTTGGCATGCAGATGTGTCAGACTGAAGCTAGCCTCCCCCAGATCTCCCATTGCTTCAGTAGTATGCCTCTTACATTCCCAGATCTCAAAACCCAGAGAGTTGCTTTGTTTGCCTAATGGTAGTGTGCAGAGACTGCTGCAAACCCAAGTCAAAACATAATGAGCAATCCCTTTCAGCCAGACTAACCGGTCCCCCTCCAGGTGATCACTGGCAGATGTTAAAAGCCTGGTCAGAAAGGTCATGGGACCACCTGCTAATAGCCAGACTCTTGGGGGGGTGTGGGGGGGGGTGCTTGAGGAAGGAGAGAGAGACTAGTCTAGGTCAACAGCGGGCTAGCAAGACCATGGGATGCTGGTCTGCCCTGGAGGCTAAAAACGTGTTTCAGAAGCCAGGAAAGTCGATCCCCCACAGCTGACCTGGATCAGCCTTATTCCAAGGGTGGCCCTGACATACCAACATGCAGGACCCCTTCACAAGCTGTCGAGCTGTTTGCTTTTTAGACAGCTTGAAACAGGCTGCCCACTTACCCCCACTGCTGTACACAAACCTAGGGTCTCCATAAAGTGTAATCACTGCTGAGTGGCAAGAGAAATTGTGTGCATTACTTGGACCTTCAGGGCAGTCCAGAAGTGATGCAGTGAGGGCAAGGCATGGCACCTTGCTAGAGACTCCAGAGGCAGCTCTGCCCAAGACACACACGGACTGCAGGATCTGTGGGCTTTTCCCAAGCAGGCTCTCAAGGGGGGGTATTTCCAAGCTTACGCATGCTTGCCATTACAGTGGCTGCAGCCACAGCCTCCAACTCAGTAAGTCCTTGGACAACAGCAGCTCACTCCCAAGATGCCTCTCCACACCCCAGGCCATGTGGTCTTAACAGTAACCAGGCTTCTCCACAGGCCTTCTGAATGGAGCTTGGCTTTATTCAAGCAGCACAGGTTTGCATTTTGTCTTACAGACCACAAGGCCAGTGGTTTATCATCATCAGAAACAGCCATCAATCCATGCAGCAGGAGATCCTACAGACATTCAGCATATAGTAAGGTGGTCAGCCACAGCACTTACAGACATCGGATATTGTCAAAAGCAGCTTCTACATCAACTCATCTAACAGATTGGTCTCCAATGTAGCCAGCCCCCACATCACAGTTGGATGAGGGAGCCAGAGCAGCAGCCCCCAGGGACTCCCTGTGGCACTAGTGGAGTGAGACTGCCCAGACTGATCAGAACCAGGAGGAATTACACGCCTGGGGAGGGTTAGGCATGGAGAACAGGTTACCTTTGAAAAAAATAAGTACATTAGAGGATAGACTTTAGCTGCCTCGTTAAATAGCAGTAATTGCACAAAATCTGCTAATCTGCCAGTCTGTTAAGAATGATCAGATTTCACTGTGGTCCACAGCCCTGGTGCTCAAATAAGCTTGTTTAGTGTCATTAGTGGGCCACCTTCTCAGTCACACAGATCATGCAGCGTTAACTTCAGCTCGTTAGAGAGCAGGCGATTTTTCTCAAGCTGGCTGTACAGGCGCTCTGCATCAGCAACAGGAGGATTAGGGGAAACAAGAGGAAGAGAGAAAAAGAGAGAAAGGGAAGGTTAGTAGAGTACCAAGATGAGCAAGTCATACAACCTGTCCCTAACATGTGGGGCTTAGAGATAAGTCACAGCTTGTTTTTACGGACGGAGGCATGGAGACAGGAGACCAGCACTGCTGACTTGCTTTTCAGCTCAGAAAGCCTGTGGTAGAAGCCAAGTGTGGCCAGAGTAGGAGTCCTATTGAGGGCTTATGGAGGCACAGGAAGGAAGATGGATTGTCCCTGGAAAATGAAGCCTGAAGGGTAATGGGTGTTCTTTATGCCCAGGAACAGGAGAGCCTTTGGATACACCCTTTGGACTCTGAACAATTCAGGAAGGACATGGCTAGATCAAGACTAGCACTCAGGCAACCCCATTTGCTTACAGTGCAGCCATGTGACCAGAAACTGATGAGCACTGGCAGCTCCCCAGTATCCCTCAGAAAGGATGCAGGACAGCAGTCACGGTCCATGACTTTGCCAGTAAGTCATGCTTAGCAACTCATGATGGGTTTATAACATGGACACAGGACCAAAAGCCTCATCTGCTTTCAAAGCTAACTGAGGAGCAGAGGTAGATCCCAGGACCAATAGCAGGATGATCCACCACAGAAGTGCCAAGGGAGACCTGCCAGCCCTGCACCCAGCAGCACCACAGACTGAGATGCTGGAAGTCTCCTATCTTCTCAAGCAGCAGCCAGTTCATGGGAGCCTGCCACCTTTCCAAAACCAGACCAGCGGGCTCCAAAGCTATGTGCTATCAGAGCACAACTAGCCAAGCTAACCACCAGACTGGTCCCGTGGGTAGCGAGAGCCCAGCTCAGGCATAGGTCCTTCCCAGTAACCTAACAGCCTTCGCTCACTGCTTTCTTGAGTCCCTCTGATTAAACACCTTCCCACCCCACACACAGGACAGTCATCTCTTGATAGACTGCCTCAAGGGACTCCTGTGCTCCCAGTACTCCCTCTTGCTGGGGGAAGGAAGGATGGAGGGGGCATGGTTTTGTTCAGCTGCACTGTACCATTAAGATCACACAGGTGTATACTGGTCAGTAGAAGCTGCTAGCTTATACAAGTGCAGGCCCTTAAAATGTAGCTCTTGCAAAGAGGCAAGTCAGCAGGCCTGACAATGGCAAGCTCCTCCTAGCCCCACTGAAACCCCACCTTGAGAATGGAATTCCAGGTTCCTGTCAGCATCCTGGGGTCAGGGGGAAGTCACTAGCTATCCTCTTGCTCACCTCCTGAATCAAGCAACATGCTTCGGGGGAACTGTTCTAGGTGTTTACAGGTGTTCTCTGCCCTCAAACTGCTCTTTGAGCTAGTTAATCTTCAGCCTAATGTTAGGCCATCAAGACCACGGAGACTGTTTCATAATGGCTCTGGCCTGGACAGCCATTGTGGTGGTCCCCAGTACCCAGGCACTTGGACCAGCAGATGGCAGTAGCACAAGAACCTCCCAGTTTTAGTTAATCGGAGCCTCTATAGATGCCACACCTGGAACCAATACAGCCAGTTCCCCCATGACAAGATTTCTGGGAGCAGGGCTGTGTTTGCTGTGTGCTCTGAATGCTATGGTATTCTAGAGGGGGCCTCTAATAGTTAGAGCCTAGACTACAGGTCCCAGCACACTGACACCCCTTTCTCAGAGGAGGGGGAGCTGGGACCCACTCTGCCAGGAGCCCAGACTGCCTTGAAACAGAACAGGCAGTCACTTCAGCCCTTGGTTGGGCAGACTGGTCACCCTGGTGAGCAAAGCATGAACATGTAATGCCAGTCTGAGTGTAACTGCCTGTGGCCTTCAGTGGTGGAGCCAGAGAAGGGCTTTATGGCAACTGCCGGAGTCATCTCCATACTGGGGAGCAGAGGGAGGAACCAAATGGATTCCTCCCCCACATTTATTTACTGCCTAGACCCCAGGGAGGAGAATCCAGTAGCTAGACAGCACTTGTTCTTGAGCCCATGATTTCAGCTAGACTGGTATGAAACACCCCCAGCCTTGCACGGGTGGCCTTGAGGCTCTGACCAGCATTGCAGGTGGCTTTCAGTCACTTCCTCCACTGACCACTCTGGGGAGAGCTGCTGAGCCTAGTCCTCATGTCAGCCTGCCTGTGCATGTGCCAACCAAGCTGGTTGGGCCTCAAAGCTTTCACAACCCCAGGTCAGGAATTGCAGCACCCAAGCATCCATTCAGAACACTACTGGCAGGTGTTATCTAGCATGACTGGCCGGAAGGGGGCCTGCTGACACCCCAGTCCCTGGAGGTTTCAATTTACATTGAAAAGTCAGACCCCAGGGGAACTACTTAGAGCTGTTGATTTCAATACAATTTATTGGAAGTGGCGGTTTCTTGGCCTCCCAGCCCAAAGTGAGAATGTTTAGTTCAAGGGCAGGAAGCAATGGCACTTTGAACCTCATCCCTTCAGGAGTGGTGACAGACAAGTGGGGAATGTTTCCAAGGGCAAAGATTTCAGTGTGATGACTAGTTACTTGTGCTTTATTACACTGGGGTGGTTGGAAATGTGTTTGAGAAATGCTAAAGGTGGCTTCCATGAAGGTTACAAGTGCCAATGTCTTCATATGATGCAACAGGCAAACTTCAGCATCTCAGAGCTTCAAGCCACTACAGCTGCTTCCCAACAAGTCAGCATGTAGCCTTTTCAGGGCAGCGACTCTTACTGTGTTTGCACAGCTCCTTGCAATGGTACCATACTGACTGGGAGCTGCTGTAAGCCAGCTGAGTGAACTGGAAGGGGCTACATAGCTGAAGAGTAGAGTAAAGTGAGAGCAGGCTGGGGAAGTCTTCTGAACTACAGAGTACATAGCCTCAGTTTCCAAGATCTGGCTCATGAAGGGTTATGTTTGGACTTTACACCAGGACTTCCAGGACAAAGTGAAAATTTGAGGAACAGGAAAGGAGAGAGATTTGGTGAGCCACAGACACGATTATGTCAACCTGGGTAGTGTTCATAATCCCCAAAAGTTCTAGTAACTTGTGCAAGTCAAATGACCTGTCTTTATGCAGCATGACTGGTTCTAGGATTGGTTCCTACCACCAGCTGTGAACCCAGCACCACACTCCCCCATATCTGCAGTCCAAGCACTTTGGCCAAGAGGCATGTACGGATTTCCGACATTGCTTCTACACCCCTCAGACGGGCATTGTGCACGACAGAAACCAGGATCTTGGTCTCCACACAAGTAAAATTCAGTGCCGCTACTGGTACAGCTTTAGCATCTGACCAACCCTGTCCAGCTGGAATTCCTAGATGTGCTTTCCTACGTGTGTTAGCTTCTGCATCCAGCCAAGTGGATCACTGACCAGGGTAAATCAGACAAGGTGTACACAGTGACTTTACAGTGAGCCAGCATTTGATTGCCCCAATGCTGACTGCATCCTAAAGGGGAATCAGGTGTGATAAAGCCATTAACTACCAAGACCAGGATACAAATGCAGCTTCAGATTTCCTACTACAACTCCAAGGAACCATTCAGTCGTTCGGAGCACTCAGCACTTTGTATTGTTTGCAGATATGCAATTCAGACATGTGAGCCAAGAACAAACAGCAGAAGGAAGAACTTCTTGCATCAATGTCTATATATTCCATGGACACGGGGGAGTTATATGGGCCTGGAGGCAACAAACTGTTACCATCAGGCAGCAAGTCCAGAAATCCATGGCTCAGCAGCACCAGCCATTTCACTCATTACCAATGTATACATCAAGTTGTTCCTTAGAGTGACATCATGCTCAAGCAATAGGAAGTACAAAAGGAGCTTTATGACTCTACATGAAATATGCAGATAACAAAAACACCCCCTGCTACATTCAGCCCCTGTACCCAGACATACTGAAACAGCAGCCCCTCTGAGCACAGCAGTGTCTGGCACAATAGGTCATACAGAGGAAGCTTTGTTTGAGGGCAAATGCAGCACAACTGCTCCTGAGTTTCAGTGCATTCAGTGTTTATTCCCAGGGATGCCCTGCATACAGCCTAACTGGACAAGGGCACTGGAATTCAGAGAGTAGCAGAAAGAGCATAGTGAAGAGTGCAGATGCAGAACAAGCCACCAAGCAGAGGCAAATCCTAAGTGGAGTTTGGAATCACAGATTTATCTGTATGAAATAGAGAAGGAGACACTTGTTTTAAGAGGCCCTTAAGGCTTTGTACACAGCAAACTGGGTTTATGGAGTTTTCAGATGTTAGAAACAAGGATGCTTACTTCTGAGTGAATATCAGCCCCTTCCTTGGTTAGTGGGCAAGGGAGCATGCAGAGTCCACAAGTCAAAGCTAGAGTAACAAACTAGTTTTGGCTATTTCTAGAGTAGTTTATGGATCTTAATCCCAGGATCATGTATCCCTGAGATTTGACTAGCACTAACTGCAGCTTCTGCCACACTAGATCTTGCAAAACAATGACACATTGTCACTCCTGCAGGAAGCCTTCTCTGAGTAACTGGGAACTGCATTACTTGGCACAAATTAAATGGATTCACACCCATCCCGTTTCATTCCCAGCTAGCACTGCATCATACTAGTATTGTTCATGCACATCACAATAATCTAACTCAAGAGTTAGTCACAGCATGCTGACAGACACCACTGCATTAATCTAGAGGCAGAGACCTGCAGGAAACACTACCCATCCATGTAAATTATCTCCATAGCCAGTCTATCAATCACAGCAAACCAAGCAAGTTCTGGCTGTTTAGCCTGCTCAAGCAGAGGCAAACCCCACACCACAGCCAGCTGATATTTACATGGAAGTCATATCATTGAGGGCGTGGTCCAATTCCTCACTAATAGCTTTGTACTTCAGTTTCTGTGCATAGAGTTCATCTAAAGAGGTTTGGAGGAGAACAAAGGGAAAAACCAATAAGAAAGGCAGGAGGAATATAGTCCAAATACCCAGAGGCAGGAAATGCAGCATGGAATCCAGGAACAGGAGAAAATGAAGTCAGAGGTGAAAGAGCTGCAACTCAATGTAGTTAGGAACCCATCTATCGATTTTGTTTAGAGACAGGACCCAGGTTTGGTCTAGTTTAATCAAGAAGTGCCTTGCAGGTTACAGATACAGGTTCCTTGAGGAGAAAAGGGCCAATAACTTCAAAACAAGGCAACTTAAGATGTGTTGACTCACAATGGTCACCTGCCTGACTGGATCTGCAGTAACCAATGATGAGAGGTTTAAGCAATGAAGCAAGAACCCCCCCCATTTTGTGGGGGAGCTGAACTGGTTTCCTGAGCTAGAGGACAGAGATCAGTTAAGTAGGTATTTTCATCTCAGTTTCAATAGGAAACTCCAAGGTTACCATGCTTAGTGGCTTTAGTCATCTAGTCTAAAGATGTAGGGAATTCCCATTACAGAGAGAGCATGTACAATTAACAGGAAAAATCCTAGCATGCAAACTACACCTGTGTTACCTGCCTTAATTGGAGGCTTGGAATCCAGTCTTATGAGAGTTTTAGTACTGATCTTGCCAGCTCCACTTAATTCCAAGGGAATAGGACTTCTGGCTACAGTACAGCTGTTATGTTATTCCACAGAGTGCCCAGAGGACCATGTCTTGCTCAGTCTTAAACTGTCACTTCAGCAGGCTTGTAGATCAGAGCCAACTGTCTCATGATCAATGTTTCAAGCAGAGCATGCAACAAATATTTTTGCAGTTGTTGTAATGAAGTTATCCCATGGAAGGCTTAACTGGCTTACCATAAAACATCTAGATCTGTTTGTGGCTGAAAGTACAGCTCAGGTGGTAGTATTCACTGTGCTGACAGCATGATTTCTAGACTGAAGCTATCTTTGCAAGAGTCTAGCTTCTTGGCTACATCAGAGCTTGTTAGACCAAAGTCTTCACCATTTTGAGCTACCAAAAGCTAGGGAATCAACAGGAGACCCAGACTGCTTAAGTCATTGGGTCAGGGCAGGTTGAGTCGTGGCCTTCCACCACCCTTCAAGACAGATGAAACCTCAACTATGACTTTTCAAAAGAGGAATTTAAATGGGTTTTAGGGTAGGGCTGAAGACCAGAGAGCCATTTCATGTGTTGGAAGTTGCTATACTCCATGGTTGGCACCACCTAAACCAAGGCTTAGTGGGTCTTGTACGACTACTTGCTTGTACCTAGTTATAAAAACCTATACCATGGGTTTCAGCTACACTAGCCTGACAAACATCTTACTGTCCCCTACCTGAGGTTCTCAGGACACCTTACAAAAGGTTTTCCCAATCCCACTCCAGAAATTTCAGACTCAAGAATGAGTTATCCTGGCTATACAAATGCCTTTTAAGCAACAAAATGCATGGAAATCCCAGTTGCTTAGTCTGGAGTGGCCAGGTGACACCTGAGTGCCAAGCAGTAATCTAGGAACATGTTACAGCAACACTTATTCAGCCTCAGTGCAGAGACTGAGCTGGGTTGTTTAACAGTAAATACCAGGTCCAGAGTCTGACTCAGCAGCTCTAGCTTCAGCTCACACCACTTGACAGCCAGCTAGCTGAACCAGAACAGGCCATGCCCATGAAGTGAGTAATCAAGAAGATTCTGATCAGGGGTAGCCTGTCAGCTCCCTCCCATAAGCTCCAGCACCACCCATGCCCCATGGCATCTTGGGCAATAAACTCAGCTGGCCCATCTGAGTGATCTTTGCCACTCCCTAGGTTTCATTTGACACCCCAGTCCCCAAAACATACCTTCCAAGTCATCAATGGTCTTCTCCAGTTTGGCTACTGATCGTTCAGCAAATTCTGCACGGGTCTCCGCCTGACAGAAAACAGCCAATCAATACCGAACTAGTCAGTGGTTCTTCACTTTGCATCTGTAGACACATGGGGCCCATGAGACTGATCTAGGAGGAGTCTACCACAGTGAAGTCAAGCTAGTGTGGCCAGCCTCAGAATGAGGTGCCCTGGTCCTGGCATCCCGACTCTGGTGGCTGACAGCCCCTATCAAGAGGTTTATCCAAATCCCACACCCCTGGGAACATGCTTTCAGACCCTGGAGAAGTGGCCACTCACCTCTTTAAGTTTGTCTGTCAGGATCTTAATCTCCTCTTCATATTTATCCTCTTTTTGAGAGTACTGTGGAAGAGGCAGAGAGTCAAATCCCAGTGCCACTAACTGCTATTAACCACCTCCCACAAATAGGTCCTGAAATCTGAGAGTCACTAAGTCCAGACCTCAGCTGCAGAGGGGAGGTTAGAGGCTCACTCTTGTACCACAACACAAAATTCCTTCCTAAAGATGTTGCACCAAATGGGCCAGCCACAGGGAGTCTGGCTCAGGACTGTAATTCACACCATGCTTATCCACCAGGAGGTGGTTAGGAAACCAAACCCCAGACCCATGTGTCTGATATTCAGCATTAGGCACATGGATGAATAAGTCTGCTTCACAGCCAGGCAGCCAATGCCTTATACTCATGTTGCCTGTGAAGCTTCCCCGCCCCAACCTTGGAACAGCTTAAGACAATGACCACCACCACCACATACACCAACAGACATTGGACCAATGGGAGATTACCTCACCCACCTTGTCTCTAGAGACAGGGAGTCAGACAGACACTCATGACTACTAGCTCTGCACTTCAAACCATTGGCACGCCCATGTCTGCAGCTCCCAAGGACATGCAGACTGATTCTGTAACAACTCAGCCTCATGCTAAGGCCATTACAAGTTCCACAGACCAGGGAGCATTCCCATCTCACTGGGTGCTCTTTAGTCAGAGGCCCATGCAGGAGTGCCTGCAGGCTTCTGGCCCTTTGCAAGGCAGGCCTACCTTCTCAGCCTGAGCCTCAAGAGACTTGAGATTGTTGGTGACATTCTTCAGCTCCTCCTCCAGCTCGGAACATTTACTGTGGAGGTTTTACAAAAGGCAGGAGAGAAGGAAAGAAAAGTGGGAGGGAGACAACACAGGAGAGATGAAAAAAGTGAATCCATGTGCAGAGGAGACTGGAGAGCTATTTAGGAGCCAGATCTCAAGTGACAGGTGGGATTTCACTTCCAGGCTGTCAGGAGAGTTTAGAAGCAGCTTTGTATGAAGCGAACACCCACACAGGCACTGACTACAGACACCTATTCTTAGTGCCTTGTCCACACTACAGCAATAGCAAGGCCTTAAAACTGAGCAGCTGGATGCAGATTCATGCTGGACCCAAAGGCTCACATGTAAAAAACTGAACATTAATAAGTACGCTGTGGGGAGGGAAGCTGTTCTACTATGGGGCAGCTGCAGCTGCCACCTGCTCAGAGAAAGGGAGGTCTGTCAGTCAGCAGGAGAGACTGGAGCATTCCAGAAGTGAGAAATGAAGGAGAGAAATGCTATTAAGGAGCAGAGGGCAGGAGTGTGATGAGGAGGCCATAAGACCTGTTTGACACTTGAAGGGTTAGTACCTTTTCTTCAGCAACAGCCAGACACTTCACATTCTGGTCCATCAATCGAATCTGTTCATCCAATTCCCGGCAACGACTGTTAAGGACGATCACACGATGGCACAAGCAAGGCAAGGGGGGCAAAGGTCAAAAGGAGCAGCAGCATCACAAACAAAGCCGAGCAAAAAAGAGGGAAGGGAAGGGGAAAAACAAAGAAAAGTCATGGTCACGACATGCACATCTGGGTGGGAAGCACAACTACACTTGCTGTACATGCAAGCAAGTGACTTTGTTATACAAGGCCTAAAAGATGCAACGGAAAGGCTCTCACTTCCCCCTCAAAGAGGAATTAGAGCAGCCACGCTTGAGGAAATAAAAGCCCTTACACTGCATCTCTTCGTGTTCTGGATAGAAACTAGCCAGCTACTCAGCAATGCTCTGTTCAAGAGTCTCTAATACTTCTTGATAGGATCTTAGAAGCCAGATCAGACTCAGGCATGGATATTCTATGGTTCCATGGGCTGCTTTAATTCCCTGTCCAGAGGGCCTTTGCAGTAGGTTGCATTGTGTATGTGCCTCAGTTTCCCACATCAATTTAAAGATAAGCTAGTAGACACCAGCTGCTCTATTGACCAACAAAGCAGTGCTGGTGAAAAGAACTAGGCTGAGAGGGACCTTCTGATCCTGTAGGTACAAAGTCACTCCATGCAAAGAGAATGGACATATCCACTACAAGGCAAACATTTGATTGTGATATGCATATTGCACTCCATGCCCCCAAATGTTGATTTTCCCCTGGTAGGAGTGAGAGATCAAGGAAGTAACAGCTCCTTTGGCAGAAGAACTAAACCTCAGCCCACACTTCAGGCCTTGTTTAACAAGGTTTGGGAGGTTTCAGTCATGTTAGTTCCCATGCAGAGGGAGTCATGCAGAGGAGGTCCAAGGCAAAATACTCACGACTCTGCAAGCTCAGCCCTCTCCTCAGTGCGCTCCAAGTCTCCTTCAATGATCACCAGTTTCCGGGCAACCTGGAGGAGAGAAAGCCACAGATAGTTGATAAGGCAAGAGATTCATTCTTCGGGAAGGAGCTCACAATGGACTGCTGTCCTGAAGCCCAGCTGGCCAGTTTCCTTACAAGGAAAGGATGGCATGATCTCAGCTGAGTGAAAAACCAACTCCTACTCTCACTCAGGAGAGCACTTTGGACAACAGGATCCATTAGGAGAGCTACCTTGCACCTGGGTGAAGCCAAGAGGGGCAAGATAGCTTTGAGAGCCTCACCTCCTCATATTTCCTGTCAGCCTCTTCTGCAATATGCTTGGCCTCCTTGAGCTGGATCTCCTGCAGTTCCATCTTCTCTTCATCCTTCAGGGCTCTGTTTTCAATCACTTTCATGCCTCTGCCCAAGACAAAAGGAAGGGAGGTGATGAACAGAACTGTGACCTTAAATTGGCATATTATACACTACAGCACCTTTATGAAAGTGTTCTTGAAGCAGGGCTGACTGCAATCAGGGTTTATACCTACTCTACATATTAGGGTTCAGAAGGAAGTTCACCCTCATCCACCAATGTTACAATTCAGTCTCAGATAACATCTCTGGAGAGTCTCAGGCCATGTCTACACTACCACTTATGTCAGCAAAGCTTCTCTCCAGGGTGTGAAAAAATACAGCGTGCTAAACAGCTTTGCTGGCATAAATAGTAGTGTGCACAGCCCTGTCGGCAGGAGAGCTTCTCCTGCTGACAGCCAGCTCACCAAGTGGTAGTAGCTCCGTTATGTTAATGGGAGAGCTCTCCCATCAGCACAGAGGGCTACACAAGCAACCTTACAGCTGTGCTGCTGTAAGCTCACCCATGTACACTTGGCCTAAAGCCCCACCCACGATGTTAATCTTTTTTTATACAGAGAAAGCGTAGAGGCAAGAGACTGATCTCCTTGCCTGCAAGGAGGATTGCTACATGGGTTAAATAGCATCCATGCTCATGGTAAAATACAGAAACCCATGGGGCCCAAGCAGCAGCAGTCTAAAGCATGACCTGCCAAGAGCAAACCACGAAGACTGGATAAAGCTGGAGGTTGTGACAGGGCAGAGGATGGACACCTGAAAAGACATCTAAAGGGATGTCTGACCAGCCATCTGAGGAGCTGTCTCCCAGACTACACACTTTACCCCAAGATCCAGATACACCTGGTGAGTTCAATGTTATTTTGCATTAACATTCAAGAACACCTCCACCACACATCTGCAATACTAGTGTAGAGCCAGAGAAGAGTGATATCTGCGGAAGCCTCCTGCTTCTGTAATGCAGCTCACCTTTCACTCTCATCTGCAGCTTTCTCTGCCTCCTCCAGCTTCTGCAGAGCTGTGGCAAGACGCTCCTGGGCTCGGTCCAACTCCTCCTCTACCAGCTGGATACGGCGATTCAAGGATGCAACTTCTGCCTCAGCCTAGAGAGTTGATCACACCATGAGCTAGTCTACAGCGCGTCCAGCACTGACAGCAAGGGAGGGCTCCTGGGATCAATGTCCCAGTCCACCATTGACTGAGATGGAAAAGAAAAGCAGTGCCACGTCTGGCAAGTGAAGACTGCCCTCCCAATGGTGAGGAGGGACAATGCTGGAGTGTCCTCTGATGGGCAGAGTTTCATGCAGTTAAGCTGCTCCACACAAGTTCCCAGCATACCACAAAGAACTAGGATTTCAGCTCAAGCAGACTTGTGACAGGTACCTGCCCAACTAACCTCTGCTTGCATGAGCATCAGATCTGCCAGAGGATTTCCAGTTAACACTCTCCCTTGATCCTCAACTGCAGCCTGCCAGTCCATGAACACTGCAGCCAGTCACTTTACACAGAACTAGTGCCATTTGCGTGGCTGAGCTGTGACTCAGCGTGGCTGGAGGAAAGTTTCAAGCAAGTCAGCAACTGTAAGTTTATCTGAACCACATTTGGAGGAGGCACCACCAGACTTCCAGGGCTGATCACTGTGCCTAGGCCAGCCAATGCACATCACTGCCGGCCTCCAGAGACAGGTTTCCAAGGACACCTTGGAAACACTGAACAGCAGCTTGATTTTGCTCAGTCCTTTAGCAGGAATTTGGAGCTAGACGCAAAGTTTGGGGAGATCCTGTCTCTAGAACAGTTCTTTGGGAAGGGAATTCTACAGCTATAGCAACAATGCAGCCCCTAGTTTCAGGGTCAGCCTCTCAATATGGGCTAGTGAAGAGCCACTGCAGCTATAAAAAGCTTTAGGTCTGGTCTATACGTAGAACTTGGTCAGGCTAGCTCCAGCACTCAGAGCTGTGAAAAATTTCATGCCCTCTGTGCCCCTTAGATCAGCCTAATGCCCACTGTAGATCCTGCTAGGCTGCCAGAAGAATTCTTCCCTTGACCTTGCTGCTGCCTCGGAGGTGGGTTTGCTACAGTGACAGAGGAAACCCTTCCATTGCTCTAGTAATTATCCGCTACTGCACTGCAGCTGGGCCATGGTAGCCCTTGCAGTGTAGCCATATTATCTTGGATCATGAGCTGTGGTCACCTGGGTCTGTGCTGTGAAACAAGCCAGCTGGGAGCCTGGGAAAGGGAGTCACTTGAGCTTTTGCTCTGTCAGCAGGGAGACTTGGTTCTCCACTCAAATCCAGACATTGCTTTGATAGCTACAACAGTTATGCAAGCGATTACTCTAGTGCTAGACACACCTTATGGGCTTCTGAGACACTGCAAGTAGGTATTCTATGAACATTACGACCCAGCCTGAGGCTGCAGATGAACTAGTACACTTGGCCAATGCCCATTCCTCCCCTTCCCCCATCATGGGGGGGTCTCTACAGCTTAGGGATGTCTGCTTGCCACTTAAAGGCAGTAATAAGAACCCTCCCCATCTGCCTTGGGCAATCGGATTTCTTCCCAGTAGCTTAGAAGAAGTCCTGCTGAGAGGAAGTGCTACCAAAGAGCTGCAGCTCACTTCAGTGCAGCAGTGAGGAGTCTGGCAGGACCTTTCAATCTGAAATACCTTAACCACCACATGTAACACAGCCGCCGGCAAGTTGCTGAGGCTTCAAAGGGAGCCAGCTTGAGCTTAGGGAAGTAGAAGTGCTGTACCAGCTGAGCAATGGGGAAAAAAGCTAGTGTTAGAATAGGGCTCAATATATTTGGAGTTAAAGCTTGGACAAGCCATTCAGTTCTTCTCCTTGGCTGGACCATTAACAGATGCATGGTGCCCTGATGAGCAGGGGTGAGGCCAGTACCATCCAGTGGCAGGTTTGAAGGAGTGCATCATGGGAAAGGGACTTTTCGGTGAGCACTTCCATGCAAGTGCACCTCCAAGCCTCTTCTGTGGATGCCTGAAGGGTGCTGTCATGGACCAAGCCCTGCTGGAGGAGTCAGTGAGCACCTATACTTGAGAGGAAGGGGGTTAAAACTGGAAAAAGTTCAGCTAAAGGTCTGGTCTAGTTGCAATCAGTGCACAGCCTGAGGAAAGTGAGACAGACCAACAGGAGAGCACTCTCCTCCCCAGCAAGTCCAGAGGAACACCAGAATGGTAAGGCCCATCCCCTCACATGCAGAGTAGCTGCAGAGGGTAGGATGCTGTCCCCACCATGGCTGTGGGGAGAACCTAACCGTCACCTCAGTTTCTGGCTATGTGATGTTTTAAGCTGGACTCAGCCCAGCTGTGGTAGAGAGAAGGCTCCCTCACTGCTGTGGAACTGCTTCTCTACCCTCTCTCAGCCACTGCAAGGGGGCTCCACCTTCTACCCTTCCACCACTCACTTCACTGCTAGTTTTGGCTCCCTGCAGCTTGCCCCAAGAAGTAGGGAAGTGAAATTCCTGACAGCTTTGCAGTCGCAACAAAACCCTGCTTGGTTTAGTTACCTTCTGCAGAAGGGTGCCCCCCCACACACACACCTGCAGCATGAGCAGCATCTCAGGAAGACTGCTGGCAGTCTTCGGAAGGCAACCCCAAGCCAGCTTGAACACAGAGCACTTTGCAGTCCTCAGAGTATAGGAACTTGCATTTAGAATCTTCTACAGAGTTTGATGGCTTAAGTACAACTTCCCTCCAGCAGCCAAGAGGGCTCCTCACAGGAGTAAGGGAATTCTTTGGCCCTGTTAGTGGTAGCCTAAACCAGAAGACACCTGTGCCCAGCCCCCAGCTCTAGAGATCTATGCCTCTCCCCAGAGATGTGAATGAACACTATCACAGGGCTGCAACAAGCCAGGGTGGCAGTGTACGTTTCCATGACAACTGCTGGCTGAGCTTTAATATGACAATACCTCAATTACAAAAGAATTTCTTATGAGGCTGCAAATAAAGAGCAGAACCAAGACCTGGGCATGGCTTCATTTTATTGCCCTGCAGTGTCTTTCCACGGCCAGATGTAAACTGGAGCCAGCATGTAGGGCAGCCCCTGGACTCTCAGGGCTTCAGTGCTGACTGCTTAAACCAGGGCACTCCTTAAATTCACATGTAAGGTAGGGGTGTCTTCCACACCTGAAGCCCAACTGCCTCATTTTAACCATCCTGTTCTTCAGCTTAGACTTAGCAAAGCCACTGCATTGATCCTGCTGTAGCAGGCCATGGTGACAGCCAGCAAGACAATCAGTGCATCAGACCCAACCCTCAGCCATTCATGGGCAGGCTATGCTATCTGGATCAGACTCTTCACCCCTATGCACCCAGGATATCAAGCAAGCTGCCTGTTTTCAGACCAGCTTGGACAGACTTGAGCTCAAGTGTCAGGAATCAATATGAAAATTGAAAGGTGGATAAGGAACTGGTTAAAGGGGAGACTACAACAGGTCACACTGAAAGACTAAGTGTCAGGCTGGAAGGAGGTTACTAGTGGAGTTCCTCAGGGATCGGTTTTGGGACCAATTTTATTACTGACCTTGGCACACAAAGCAGGAATGTGCTAATAAAGTTTGCGGATGACATGAAGCTGGGAGGTATTGCCAATACAGAGAAGGACCAGGATATCATACAGGAAGATCTGGATGACCTTGTAAACTGGAGTAATAGTAATAAGATTAAATTTAATAGTGAAGCGTGCAAGGTCATGCATTCAGGGATTAAGAATTTGTTATAAACTGGGGATGCATCACTTGGAAGTAATAGAGAAGGACCTCAGAGTAATGGTTGATCACAGGAGGACTATGAGCCGCCACATTGGCCATGAAAAAAAGCTAGTGTGATCTTGGGATGCATCAAGCGAGGTATTTCCAGTAGAGATGAGGAGGTGTTAGTACTGTTATACAAGGCACTGGTGAGACCTCCTCTGGAATACTGTGCGCAGTTCTGGTCTCCCAGTTTGGATTATCTTTCTTAAACATGAAAGAGGTACAGAGAAGGGCTACTAGGATGATCTGAGGAATGGAAAACCTGTCTTATGAAAGGAGACTCAAAGAGCTTGGCTTGTTTAGCCTAACCAATGGGGAGATAGGATTGCTCTCTATAAATATATACCACGGAGGAAGAATTATTTAAGATCAGTACCAATGTGGACACAAGAACAAATGGATATAAACTGGCCATCAGGAAGTTTAGACTTGAAATTAGACTAAGGTTTCTAACCACCAGAGGAGTGAAGTTCTAGAACAGCCTTCCAAGGGAAGCAGTGGGGGCAAAAGACATATCTGGCTTCAAGACTAAGCTTGATAAGTTTATGGAAGGGATATGACATGACAGGATAGCCTAATTTTGGCAATTAATTGATATTCAACTATTAGCAGTAGGTATGCCCAATGGTCTGTAATGGGATGTTAGATGGGTAGGATCTGAGTTACTACAGAGAATTCTTTCCTGGGTGGCTGGCTGGCTGGCAAGTATTGCCCACATGCGGAGGGTTCAGCTGATCACCATATTTGGGGTCGGGAAGGAATTTTCCGACAGGGCAGATTGGCAGAGGCCCTGGGGGATTTTCGCCTTCCTCTGCAGCATGGGGCACAGGGACTCTCTGCACCTCAAAGTCTTTAAACCACAATTTGAGGACTTCAGTAGCTCAGACATAGGTTAGAGGTTTGTTACAGGAGTGGGAGGGTGAGATTCTGTGGCCTGCATTGTGCAGGAGGTCAGACTAAACTATCATAATGGTCCCTTCTGACCTTTAAAATCTATGATGCTATGACTCTGACCTGCTCAGAGCCAGAGCATTGATTTCAGCTTATTCAGGATACCATTCTGCAGAGTCCAGTAGTTCAAAGAAAGCAGTCCCTCTCCAAGCTGAAGAATGTTAACTCAGTTTGTATTTCAGTCCACTGCAAGTGTCACTTAGGCATAGCACTTGGGTCGACAGTGTCAGCGTGGACACTGCATTGCTAACTTGTGAAATGCAGCAACAGTTGATGTAGTCCCCAGTCCCCTACATTAACAGGGAAATTGGTGGATGCACACCGCTGACACAAGGCATCTAGTGTGGACATAGAAAAGCAATTTAACTACTGTGGGGCCTGT